AAGCAGCCGACGAACATTTTGAAAATCTTAGACAACAATATGCTGAAACTATGCAGCGAGCAAGAGCATTGTGCGATGAAGCTACCGATAGTGGTGATTTTATTAGAACTTCAGAAGAACAAATGCAAAAGCATACATATCTTTGTGAAGAAGCTATTGCAAAATCTTATCCACAAAAAATGGTTGATAATACAGCTGCTATTGCAAGATTGGCTGATAGAGTAATACTCGTAGCTAAACAAGAAAGTGATAATAGCGAGGATCCTGCTTTCATTCAAAGAGTTAATCAAGCAACTGATGCTCTACAAAATAGTAAGTTATTATATTATATAATATAGGATTTAGTGCCTTTTGTTGACAATAATTAACCAACTTCGTAATACAGGTATTGCCCCAATGATCCAGAGTGCAAAATATGTTACTATCAATACTAATGATAACACTGCAGCATATCATTGGAGAGAAAGCAACCGTGCTGTAAGTGTTATTTGTATAATAAAAATTACATTATAGAAATATTCCTCGTGTAATAACTGTTGCACTTTTATTACTTACAATCATGTAGCTTTTATCCAATGTTGGACAAGTACACAAGGCTATTGTCGTACATCCAGATTTGGTTCAACCACCAGCAATGTCTCAATTGCATATCACCGATGGTACGTATTATATTATCAATTCTTTAATATTAGTTCTGAATGTATTTTTTTTTTTAGTAGAAATAGATATTCTTTTGTTAAAAAAAGAGTATTAGAATAGTAATTGATTGCATTAAAATGAATGCATCATTTTCATTATCATTATCCCACATTTATTTTTGTATATAAATGAAAATATTAATTATTAACAAAAATCAAGCATGGATTAAAAACGCAGTAGAAAAAAAGAAAAAAGAATACATAAGTTCTCTAAACATATATTCTAGTATAGTAATTATATAAATTATAGCTTATATATAGTCAGGTGAAGGAGTAGTGGCTAATAAATAACATAACTACATAGTAGACTTTCATTATACAACTGTTTTTCAAAATGTACATAATATAAAATTAAAGTATGAATATATCCTGTTCTACTTCCAACACAGACTTCAATAAATATTGAAATGATATTACACACTTCGTTTTTAAAAAACGAAGTTATTTGCAGCAAATAAAATTTGTTAAAATGTAAATTTCACGGGGTAATATAGAAATTTAATATGTTCTTTACAGAGGAACAAATGCCAAGTCAACAATATAATTACTTCACAGATAAAGGTACTTATATAGGCATGAAATTATGCATGATAATTTATTTTATGATATCAATTTGATATATACCACAAGAAAGTTATGATAAAATAGTATGAGAAGAAAATAATTCACAGTCTTATAGATTAAAAAAAAGTAAACGTTCGTAAATATTTTTGAAATGATAGTTGGTCAGCCTTTGAGAAATCAACCCTCACCCAGCAATTTACGCGTGATCAGCCCCACACTAGGTTCAAATAAACCACAACATCGTTCTGTCAGTCCGTTACCAAAATGGGCACGTGGAGGTATTTACAGAGAGTATAAAAAAAAAAAGAAAAGAAATTGTAAATTTTAAACAAGTTATTTAAAATTAAAATTAACTATATTCTCTTGTCAGGAGATAATCCAGATCTCCTGTATCAAGAACTGGCTTCTGAAAACGAGTTGGAAAAGTCAATTAGTGCTGGAGGTAAATCAAAAAAATTGTTCTCGAAAAAAAAGAATGATTACATCGTTAGGGTTAATTTTTCTTTATTTGTTATTATCAAGCATGTGTTTAGATTTAAAGGGAATATTTATTTGACATGTATAATTTGTACATTTTCTAAAAAATAGTAACAAATGAATCTTAAATTATTTGCAACTACTTTTTATGCAATATATAAGATTCAAATGCGATTTAAAGAAAAACAGTTTCTTTAATATTTAATTATTTGTTTCATTTTCATATCATAAATTCATGTATACTAACTTTATACGTATAGAAACATTTAATATCATTTATCATTAATTTCAATTTATGCTTATTTCTTTCCTCTAACTAAAATAGCTACCCATAATTATTCATTAACGTAACTAATAAATATTTACTAATTTTGTATGGTGTACGTAACTATATGTTTTTTCTTCATTTTTATGCTACATGGAATTATCTAGGCTATATTGATTATTATGATGATGGTAATTACTAATGTATTTATTAATGGAATGAATGGAAGCAAGTTATCTAACATAATAATTTAACAATATGTACTTCATAGCATGAGAAGATATTTAATGTTTATGTTTCAGTTTCTTTATAGAACAGTATTCTTCATTTTAAGATCATGGTGATACGAAACTTGGAAATGTTTGCAATATTGGGTTTCCTTGTGTTTTTTTGTTTCTTATAAATGTATAAATTATTTTGTTTCATATTTCAACAATATTATTTGTAATATTGCAAACAAACATATTGAGTTATTACTGTGAAATTTTATTACAATAAAATTATTATTCCTAACAGAAGTAGCACCACCGCGTCCACCTTTACCTGGTGGTGATATTCCGCCACCAAGACCTCCTCCTCCAGAAACGGATGACGAAGATGAAATGTTCATGCATGCACCTCAACCAAATCAACCAATAATGGTACATTATATATTTTCACTTGCTCATTATAATTTTAAAACGTTTTGTAAATAAGAAGAATCGCAATTAGGAAATTCTTAATTATAGATGGCTGCACACGGATTGCATCAAGAAGTACGACAGTGGTCAAGCAAAGATAATGAAATTATTGCTGCAGCTAAAAAAATGGCTGTATTGATGGGTAAATTATCTGGTTTAGTTAGAGGAGAAGGTGGAAATAAAAGAGATCTTATAGCTTGTGCTAAAGCTATAGCCGAAGCTTCTCAAGAAGTAACACGTCTTGCAAAAGAACTTGCAAGAGAATGTACTGATAAACGTATTCGTACGGTATGTAATCATTTTTATTTAGTTATTTAATTAAAGTAGAATTTATAAAATAATAATTTCTTGTATTTTATTGCTCTTTTTCCAGAATTTACTTCAAGTTTGTGAACGTATACCAACTATTGGAACACAGTTGAAAATTTTATCTACAGTAAAAGCTACAATGCTCGGAGCACAAGGTATGTCTTTCAAAAAATATTTTTTTTGTACAAAAGTATTAAAATCTTCTTTATATTTCTTTAAAATTCCAAGAATATTCATATGTTGAAACTAACTATAAGTTAATAATAATAATAATAATAATAATAATAATAATAATAATCCTTACATATTTCTATGAGAACGCAAAATTTCTGTAGGAAAATCACTTACATATATTAATAGCTATTTATATTAACAAAAAAATGAAATTCTTTATGCATAGAGATGCTTCCTAGCTGGGAAGAGTTGATGCTTTATGGTAAAAGAATTAATAAATTATGCTTGATATTATATATCACCTCTTTCTCTTTTCGTCATTTTTTATCTTCTTTAATTTAATTACCTTTTTTAATTAATATTCGAAATTATTTCGTTAAATGCATGCAAATCTAGCATCTTCTAATACGCAAACACACAAATTTGCAATGTTATTAATTGCGTTAGGACTGACTACAAGTATAGGTTTAAAAAAATCTAAAATCATAAGCAACAGTGTTATTAAAATATTAGAGATAAATGGATGCAATGAAAATAATCAAAAATGTTATATATTTTTTTATTTGTAAACTAATTATATTTTGATGTGTTACTAAAAATTTTTAATGCTATGCCATTGGCATGACACTGTTCTCCATGGTGTAGACGAATTAATTGGGTGCAGTAAGTTTATTCTTATAATTAGAATATATAACTGCAATAGCAAATGTGATTATCCCTTATAGATGTACAGGGCGAGTCACTAATTCTTGCCACCAAAATTGCTTTCAAAGTATGGTAGTTAGCAAAAAAGTTTATAGAACCAAAGTTGCATTAAACGACCTTCATTGATCTTCAAATACTTTAATGTTGTATATCGTTGAATTCGCCACGACAACTGCTATCAGAAAATATGTAATAAAATATAGTATTTCTTTTAAAAAAAAAAAACTTGACCTTTAAATCTCAGAAGTGACTACACCTAGCAAAAAGAAACTAACGTCATGTTATACTACCAAATTTTTAATGCAACTTTGGTTCTATAAATTTGTTTGCTAACTATCATACTTTAGGAGCTATTTTAGTAGCAAGAATTAGTAACTCACCCTGTATATTAAATAATTATATTACATATTAATAGACAGTATTTTATAACATGTATGAAAAGAAGTAAAAATTTACAGTATCTTAGACTGATTACATTATTTTGTCATATTTTTAATGTTATTATAGTTTTTTATTATTATATATTTCATAAAAGTGCATGTCACCCCAATATTTAGAGCACTTAATTCTTTATTTAGTCTAATGTAAGTTTTATAAGCACATAATTTATGAATATTCAGTAAAAATATTATTTATCAGTAATACTTTAAAAACTATGTTTATAGAATAATCCAATTAATATTTATAGATATTTTTCTTTTTTTTGTTTAATAATCATTTTATTTCACGGCATATTAATTTATATTATAATATGATACACACACACACAGGTACGGAAGAAGATCAGGAAGCAACTGATATGCTTGTCGGAAATGCTCAAAATCTTATGCAGAGTGTCAAAGAAACTGTACGTGCTGCAGAATGTGCAAGTATAAAGATTCGCACTGCCTCTGGTATGAAATTACGTTGGGTACGCCGTCAGCCATGGTACCAATATTAAAATGAAAGTATATACATTAGTACAAGATCAGAAACACTAAAGTGCTATGAAGGTTTTTATATGAAATTTAATTATTTCTTTTTAACAAGAATATTATATTATTTAGATAGATTTCTTTCTATGTAATACTACATGCTTCATATGGAGAAAGGAAAAAAAAAATCACCTTATTTTAGTACTTTAATATTAACATTAGTTATTTGTTCCTGGGGGAAAAATATTTTATTATAGAATTTCACATCACGATTTTTACTAAAATAAAGAAATAGTGTCAATTTTCTCATAATACACATTGCACATAAATAACGAAAATTAGAGTACTACAATATATTTTTGCAAATTATATATTATGCAAAATTTGTATTAGATGCTATTTGTATATATATATATTTTATGTTGATGTATACCGGGGTAGAAAATGTGCATAATCACATTAGAGCAATAAGAAATTATATTTTTGTAAAAAAATATGTGCTACTCACATAAAAAAGTCCTCCATAGTTTTATAGTAATTTCATTAACATCATTCAACTGGTGCTAACGCGTGCAATATTATAGTTGCCTAAAATACAAAGTAACAATTCTAAGCATTATTATACCAAATATATGAAGCAATTTGAGTAAAATCTTGATTATGAAATAATCGTGCAATTTAAAAAATTATATTTAATCTAAATAATCAAGACTTTACTATAATAATAAATACTGTAGCGAGGGGCACATATATTAAAACAGGCCTATAATACAAATTAAATAATTATAATAACTAGATCTATATTTATCAAAATTAACAAATATATTTTACAATAACTTCATGTAGTTTTGTGTACAATAAAGTAATTTTTAATATGTAATTTAAATATAAATTCTTGTTTTTAAAAGATATATATTTATCTAAATAATATATAAATACTTTTATTAAAATATTTATATTTTTCAGAAAACATATTGTTATCTCTATTAATAGTAATATTATACTTCTATAATTTTTTAAATATATATACAGGATGTCTTAGGATTCTCTCGTTAAACGTTACAAACATTTTCTACAAGCAAAAATAAAACCAGAAATGTCATATAAACATAGACTCTTAAATGCTTTAATAAAAAGTTGTAGTTACTTGCCGAGATCCTTGATTTGCTTGTTGAATTACGTCGAAACTAATAATATTTTAATACATAAACATAATTTCATACCAAGATGCTGCATACTTTTTCAAATTATGAATCTGATATCAACCAACATCAGTTAATTAACATTTAATATTTTTGTTTATAACTTTTTAATAAAGCATCTATCAATTAATAAATATTTATATTTTAAAGAATATATATAACACGGATATAAGAAAAAGCAAAACTTTATAAACTTTTTTCTCAAAATTGTCTGGCCAATGGATGAAAATATTTTACCACGATAACACCTTAAAGGTATATTACTGATATACCAAAGCTCGTTAAAATCTAATGTCTCCTTGTTAGTTTTGCATATAGAATATGTTGGTAACGTTTGATGGGAAAAACTTGCATATATATATTTGAAACATTATTTTTTTCTTACTTTTTTATAGCGTTTCTTTTAAAAAATTAACTATAAATATTGTTGATCTTGTATATACACTTGAGATATTTGTGAAGTTGTTAAGTATCGACAAAGGAGTCTCTTTTTATTAAATGCTGCGAAGGGACTATAGCACCAGGTATCTTATTTTTAGGTATTTTTCCAGGACGTAAGTAAGGATTATCTATACCATCTTGCTGTGCAGTAGCCTCATTAGTTTGTTCTGCGCCTTCACTTTGTACATTAACACCTAAAAACATGATTTAGCCATGTACTTATCTTAGAATATTTTATTCGTAAATCTTGTCTCATACCTTCCTCTTTTTCTTCTCCTTTCTGTTCTTTTTTCTTTTTAACAGGTGTTGGTTCAAATTGAAAGTCTTGATCTGTTTCAAATATTTGGTCTTGAGGTAAAAGTGCAGAGAGATAACTAGGAAATTGTGGTTTACAAGCTATTACTGTAAAAAGAAAAAGAAATACCAAAAAATATAATTCATTATCTAAAATAAAATTAAGAAAATATATATATATATATATATATCATGTATGTGAAACAAGATTACTGAAATGCTTACAAGGAAACATGCTGTTATCTTCTGTTAAAAATAAACTATGTGTTTCCCCAGTTTTTGCAATAAATCTTGTTAAGGCTCTTTCGATATCTCGTTTTTGTGTAGCAGCTTTTTCTCTTATAGCTTCATATTCAGTTACTGGTTGTTTATGTGTCTATAAAACATCATAAAATTGTCTTAATAATTTTAAAAAGTACATATTAAAAAGAAAGATGTATTAAATCTAGAAAACTTACAGGTGTTCTGATATATGCATGTGGATCTGGAAAAGCTGGTAAATAATTGGGTATATGCGAGGGATGACTTTGCTTTACACCAGCTTGTAAAATATTTAATTGTTTTGACTGAGTTTGTTGTTGTAATGGAGGTAAAACTGTTCTATTTGATCTCTTCCCATAACTTTCTAAATTTTCCAATTTTATACCCATATTTACCAATGCTAATATAACATCTGCAATTAGAGGTTCTGTTCTCCCAGAAAGTTCACAATAATTTCTTGCAGATTGCCCAACTTCCACGATAACTGAATAGATATATAGACAATATTATTAAATATCACAATTAATATTTAGCTTTAAAAATAAGATTATCTTTTACACAATAACACTAATTCTATAATATGAACCTACAAGACTGAAGCATCTCAGTCAGAGTTTCCAACACTTGTTTTTCACAAGTATCATAACCACATTCTACTAAAATACTGCAAACAACATGATTTAATATTTTTCTTCGGGTATTGACCGATTGTACATCCATTTTATTTATAATTAAACAAAATGTACTTTATACTACTCTTTATGGAGGTAACTCTATAACGCATATTATATGCGTGTAAACTCTATAACTCTCTAATCTAAAAACAGACAGAAATATCGACGCATGCGCAAACGATAATGTGGACTAATCCGACCAGTAACTTGAAGCTGATAATTTGATTAGTATAAATAAAAAAATATAATGCATTATATACTTACAATAGATTTTATTTAAAAAATAATATATAAGATATTTTCTGTTAACATTAATTTATAATATTAAACGTCAAAAATTGTATCAAGTAATGTCGCTTGTATCAACCAATAGCAGCACATTATTATTTATCGGTTTTTCATTCAGAAATTCTACTAATATAATAATTTCTTTTCTTTTCCTGCTAACGTAATATTGGATGTTTTGTAGATTTTTTTGCTTCAATAATAATTCTGTGTTTAGATTTATTTAAATATACCATGCATTTAGTTATAATACAGTAACAGATAATTGAGAATTGACAATGGCATCGGGGTTAGAAAGCTACGTAAATCGTATCCTTTTCTTTCAATGTTGTTTTTTATGTAATATTTTTTTCTACACAAAACATAGTTTTCTTTAATAATTTTACAGATACGGTTTCTATTATCACTTCAGATGGTAGAAACTTTATTGTAAGTATTTAATGTTATGTTATATTATTGTTTCATTTGGTAACAAATCAATTTACATTCAAAACTTAACACATAATAGTATAATAATTTAATGAAAAAATAAATATTTATTTCATAAGCATTAATGAACAAATTGTTTATAAAGATTTGTTTGATTTTTAGCTGTCTCTCTGTAAAAAATCAAATGTTACTTTTAATAATATTAAAAATAAGCTTCATCACATTATTTTCCAATTTTAGGGAACATTAAAAGGGTTTGATCAAACAATTAATATTATATTGGACGAATCACATGAGAGAGTATATAGTACAACACAAGGTGTAGAACAAGTTGTTTTAGGTTTGCATATCATCAGAGGAGATAATGTGTTAGTATAATAATTATTGTACAAGTGATAATGGATTTTTTTATGCAACATCGAAAATGTATGCATTATAATATTTGTTTTATATAAAAACTGTTAGATCAAGAATAATATAAAAATTTGTTCTTAACATTTGTATCCTTAATACTTTTGATACAACTTTTCTGTGTATTATACAATATTACTTTAAAACAGCTTGTAGGTCTATCCAAATATATATACTATATTTTAATTCTTATTTATTTTCAAAACAATATTAAGACTACTTTGTTTCATATTTTACACATTGTATAAAATAAATAACCACATTTTAATAACTTTCTTTTTTTAGAGCAATTGTAGGAGAATTAGATGATGAAATGGATGCACGTTTAGATTTATCAGCCATTCGAGCTGATCCATTAAGCCCTATCACGCATTGAAAGTATTCATTATATGAAATATTTCACCATAAAGGCAAATACATCTGTATTTATACAAAAGATTAACTCTAGGATGATCATACAAATGCCTATGTTTTTATAATTATATTTAATGTACTTGTATTTAAAAAAGTTTGCAGAGCAAATACACAATTATTTACAATTATTAAAATAAAGCCAAAAAAATAACATCCTATATCAATAAACTGTACAAATATCTTATGATATAATAAACCATATTTTTTGATAAATGTAATTTTGTTTCATGATATATAACATGATAAAAGAAAATCTAGTAATTGCAATATGAATTTGAATATGTTAAGTAATTTAACATTGTTTAAATAATGTGTATATATGTGTTTGCCTCGGTATTACATATGGCTTCATATCGTGATATATTGCTTTAAATTAAATTACAATTTTTAGAATAAAACATTTTATAGACTACCAACAGTAAACTTGCACCATAAATTTAAATGTAAAGTATGATTTCTATCGGAGGTATACAAATTTGTTTTATATTAATGCAATAAAAAATATTAATGCAATCTATATTGCATGATTTAATACAATTTTATGAAAATAATAAGTTGCAAAAAAGTATTCAATTAATATAACACAAAGTTTAAATTATTAAATACCTCCTAAATTACCATACTTGCACAAAATTATTTCATATATAACAGACTTATAAAATTGACACATTATTTTTTTATAAAAGGTAACATTTTTTGTATTAGATTCATATAGGGTAATTTTATTTATATTAAAAAATCTGGAAAAGTAAGTTGGACTTCGTGCCAATTATAGTACACTATATTAAATATAAATATGTTTTGTATAGGGCTATGTATTATTTACTATATTTTCTTTGCTTATGGACATACAAAATACGTTCAACAAAAGTCAACAAAAATGGCGTTGTTTATGTTATAGGAAAAGTAAGTAAATTAAGAATGGTATCTACACATATATTGTATTTAAAAAGTTTTAAAAATTTATTATGTTCATGAAAGTTTATTCAAAGAGAGCTACTTACTTTCTATAACATAATTTAATATTTAATGTTTGAACATTAGATTTATAATTGCACCAAACTGTTTGTTTATATTATAAGATAATGATGTAATACAATAAATGAAAACAGGAACTAAGATATTATTTTATTTTTTAATCTATTAGCAAAGTCTATACAAAAATTAGTTCTACAAAAGTGAGAAAATCATGTATAGAACATAATGTTTTAATAAACCAGATATTAAAATTTTAGATGGTGCATTTATAACTGACTTTTGTATAATCAAAAAGCAAAGATGGTATGTTAAATATTTTAAATGAAATATATTGTATATATGAACGCGCGTAAGTGTGTATATGTACTATATATTGGAAGACATAACAAAAATATAAATCAATTAGAGTACAATCTAATATTCTCCTATTCTGCATATCTTAATTACTAAATGTCTTTTTGAATTAATCATAAATACATGATATATACAGATTTTCCTTAAAATTTACTTATCTGTATTATCAAAAACAATGTTTTCCAATTTTATTTGTTCCGTATTGTGTTTACTCTATATTCATTTAGTCTTAAGAGCAAAACACAAGACAGTGCAATTATCAGTACTACATATACACACTGCCAATGTGTATTTGATTTTATATACTAATTATTATTTAAAGACAATTCCTACTGTCAAACATTTGTACAGTTATTTGACACAATAAAATAATTCAAGCAAATCATATAGCTCATTGCATTATATAGCAATGTATGCCATACTCTAATAATCATATATCAGCATAATGAGAATTATCATCAGGTACTTAAGTTATGTACCTACACAATGGATGAGCTATTTTTGTATTATTTATTGCATCAATTATTGGTCGCAATATTGGTTCTGTTACGATTTCTTCTCCTCACACGTCCACCACGTCTACTCTGACTTGCACCATTCCAATCAGGACCATTATCCATGACAAAATTTGAAGGATTTGGCCCATTTGGATTGAAGCCCATTAAGCTAGGATCTGCGGGGCCAGAGTTTGGGCCAAAATTATTAAAATTATTACCAGAATATGGAGGAGGTCCATCATATGTAGGAGCAACATCAGGTCCAAAACCTACACCAGGGGCAGGGCCTAAAAGTCCAGCTCCATTATTGCGTTGTGCATTGTAACGTGGATCGTAGTTCATTTGGTTTTGTGACATAACTGGTCCATTCATATTCATTGTTGGTGGCATGTTTTGCATACTGGTCATACCCATTGGAGGCATATTTTGTGGACCCATAGAAGGATTCATCATAGGACCCATGGGTCCCATATTTCCAAGCATTGGGTTTTGTGACATGGCCATCATATTTTGTGATCCTGACATATTTGGTGTAACAGACATACCAGGAGGGCCAAGAGCCATACTAGGTATTTCCATAGGTTGTTGCGGAGCACCTTGTATCATGGAAGCACTAACATTTTGTGAGGATTGATTAGAAGCTTCGAGCGCTTTTCTTCGTGGATCAGATCGAATTTGCGGAGGTGATTTTGGCGTGTCTGGTTTTATTGGTGGTGGAGACATAGGAGAATCAGCTATTTCAGATTTACTAACACGGAAAATTTTTCTAAGACGAGGATCGTACTTTACTTGTGGATCATTCTTTGTAAGCTTTAAACCTGTATAATCAGGCCTTGGTATGTCAACGACATATACTTTATAAGTCATTGGAGGATGGGAATTATAGCTTGCATCTATTTCAGTGCATGGGATATGCGAAGGAGCTGGTTTGAATGGTAAACTTAACATTTGTCGCAGATCAACATCCGATTTAGTAGATGTATCTGTGAATCCTGCACCAACTACTCTAAGGTCTGTATCTCCAAATCCAGTTTGAAAACGTTGCCTGAAATCCATATCTTTTCTTCTGAGATCTTGATCTGCCCTAGTTCTAAGATCTATATCCATGTTAGTATCTACTGCTGTAATACCAGAACTGTAGATACTTGTTTCCAACCTAAGGTGTTTCGTTTCCTTTTTAGGATCTATTCTACTTGGACTGCTTGGTTTCTGTTCATCTCGACGTTGTCGAGGATCTCTGGACATTCGAGGATCTCTAGACATTGGAGCTACCGTTGAACTTGTACCAGGTGATGACCTGGGACTTGATGTTTCATTTTCCATTTTAGAAATTTGACTTGAAACATTAAATGTAGAATTATTAGCTACTTTAGTAACAAGATTATAATCAGTTATAGAATTATTTATATCTTGTGTAGATTTCAATTTTGTAACTAAAGATTCTTGAGTGTTTATGGTGCTATTCTGATGAGTTTGTAAAGTTTTACCATTTGTTGAACTTTGTGCCTTAAGAGATGATAACAATTTTGATACTTCTGCACTAATATCAATTTTACTTAAATCTCCAAGTTTATCTACAATAGCTGCTGGCTGAGGTATACTTGGTGTAGGAGATGCTGCTTGAAATTGTTCTTTTATATTAATATTTTGAGCCTTTTCAGACGGTTCAGATTCTTCTTTTGACGCATCTTTCGAAGAAAGCACTATAGTTAAATTACCGCCATCGTCGTCGTCGTCATCGTCTGAATACCAATCTTCTAAAATATGATCCGTACTACGTGCATTGCTTTCATCTTCTACATTTTTAAAGCTATCTTGTGCAGCACGTTGTTGCTGCTGAATACGCAAAAATAATTCTTGAGCCTTTTTGGGTAAATGAGATGGAACTTCTTGCTCTTCTATGGAAGGTGAAGCTACTCTTGAAATATTGCTTTGTTCATTCGATATCGATGATTCTATAATAGATAATTATAATTACAAAATCTATATATAAAAATTTTTATTAAAATTGATATAATTTATTTGCAATCTTTAAATATTAAATTTCAACAAAAATTCTATAACCATACCTTTTTGTGGTTCTGCAACTTTCTCTTTATCATCATCTTCAACTGGCATTTCAATGACAAGTTCAGTTTCATCATCTTGATCACTTTCTTCATCGAGCTTGGACTTACTAAGATTTGCAACTTCATCAGCTATACTAACTACAGGTGGTGGTTTTTTTGAAGATCTTAACACCCTCAAGTCTATATCCTTTGAATTATTATCATTAGAGGATGTATTTTTTTTCTTTGCCTATAAATTTATAATAATAAACTTATTAATACGAATGAAATATTTCCAATAAATTATATAATAAATTTGTCTAACATGTATCTTACTTGTGCTAAAATTTCATCTTCTTCTACATCTTTTGTAAAATCTTCTTTATCTTTGAATTTATTTACAGTTGTTTTATTAGAATCTGCATTAGTTTCAGTGTAAAAATCCATGCTTGGGACACATGGTTGCAATATTTGATTTTGTTGCAATTGTTGCTGAGTTGCTAAACCTAAAGCAGCATTAGGCAGTTGAATACCTAGATCATTAGCTGATTGTAATAACATAATTTGTTCATATGGTACTCTATCTTCATCTGATCCCCAACGTGTCTTCTTTCCAGAAGGTTTTCTTTCCCTAACAGTGCTTTTCTGTTGATTGGATGTTTCTTCTATAATAATAATTAAAATATTAATATTTTATCCTGATTCTTTAGATCTTTAGATTTTTTTTATCTTGATTAATCATACATATGCACACCTTTTTCATCCTTGTTTTCATTTTTGTCTAAAGTACTTATTGGTGCAGGTACATTCAATTCAAATAAACTGGGAATTTTTGGATTCGTTGTATCTTGTCCTTGAGCAAATGATACAGCTGTATTACTTATCATTAACGATGCTCTTTCTCTACTCAAACGTGGAAAGTCCCCAAGAATTTCTTTTGGTGCAGTTTCAAGATGTTTTAAGAGGATCCCTTTTACCTATAATAATATTTGATTATATATAGTCAAATGTTATATTGCGAGAAACTTAGTTTACGAGTATACAAAGCGAGCAAAACATGTTAATTTGATAAACGAGCAATGTTTTGTAATACGAGCAATACGAATAAACTTGTCTATCAAGCGTATTTGTACTAATAAGTAAAATGTGAGTTAACTTGTTTAATTTTTACTTATTATTTTGTATTTTATATAATTTTTATATTAATAAATAATTGTGAAACGAATTATCCGATTTTCCATTACGTATTTCTCATGATACAATTCGCTTTGATATACGAATATTTTGAATTACGAGTACATTTTTGGAACGAATTAAGCTTGCAAACTAAGGTTCTCTCTCTCTGTCTCTCTCTTTCTCTCTCTCTCTCTCTTTTTCTCTCTCTCTCTCTCTCTTTTTCTCTCTCTCTCTCTCTCTCTCTCTCTCTCT